TTGTTCCCGAATAAACGTTTTTGTTTAAATATTGTGTTGGTTTTAATTCACCACGGAGAAACGTTACAGTACGTTATATTATTTAAATATATCTCTGATGAAAAGATTTCATTGAAGAAAAATTTCCTTCAGTATGGCAGTTGTACAAAGATGCCGAAACACTTTTTGAAATTTTCGCAAAATCACAGTTTTCAAATAATTAGTGTCTGGTGCCATTTTTTTTGCGCTATCTGAGGACAAGGTTTATTCAAGACGTTTTGAGCTATTTTTAAGAAAATTTTGAAAATTGGAGAGGCCTTGTGTAAAGTACCCCTAAAATCAAAATATTCGTTTCAAACTCCCATGGCCTCGAGTTCGTGAAATCGTCAATGAAAGTCAACTTTGGCGAAAGCGTCTGATCGGTGAAGGCTCTAATGTTGATCACTAGGTGGTGGATATTGGTGAACTAAAACATTGCCAAAAATTATCAATAAAATGCTCGTAAAATGCTTTAACAAGTCCCCAAAACATAGAAACATCAAGAATTGATGAAAACCATTTCGGATGAGCAACTTAAGCTCTTGAATATCTTTGTGATGTAATCGAAGCTTCTTCCTTTTTCTTCAAATGAACTCAGCTTGCATACTGTTGGTTTGGACTGATCTTTAAAAGAAAATCTCTGTCGCGAAAACAACTGCAATACGAGTTTTTCTTTAAAAAAATCACCAATACTCTCTCTGTACTACGTACGTAGTAATGCAATAAAGCAATTCGTAAGAGGAACGAAATTTTTCGCTGTCATTTAATATTTTTAGAATGATGGAGGCCACGAGCTATTTGTGGTGGTGGAGACAGGGGGAGCGTAATACGAGGCGATGGGATTGAAGTGAAAAATGTAATAGAGGAGGAGCTGCGAAACAAGTGGAGGTTGCAACGGTGTAACGGAGCCGCTGTGAAGGAAAGAAGCGCGCGGGGGTGGGGGAGGTGTGCGGGCGAGTGCTTGGCTCCTTGGCGGCGGCGCTGATTGGCCCCATTGGGGGGCGGCGCGCCTGTCCTTAGTTAACCGCCGCGCCGTATATTGAATCAACACCGCCCCGGGCAGGGCAGGGCGCGGCGCGGGAAATTGGGTTAGCGCCGCAATCCGGCCCCCCGGCCCCGGCGGCGGTGGCGGCGATAGGCGCGCCCGTGCCCGTGCCCAAGCGGGCTCTCCTCGCCCCGTATCCTATCGACCATCGTACTAGAGGCTCCCCCTCCCCGAAGGCTAAGAGGACGCCGGCCCTCGAGACGCGCTGACGCCGCCGCCTATCAAGACCCTCTCACGCATTCACCCCTCCACCCACGCAAACAACCGTACGGAGGAGACGAGACGTGAAGCATTTCCTGTTACGGACATGGTCGTTTCTCGCCTACTGCTTATGGAGTGTTGAGAAAGAACTGTAATGCTCCACGGTAAAAAAAATGAATTTTCGACGGGAAAACTCTTACTACCGGGCCCTGCTAACGAACTGGGCGATATATTTGATTCCTATGACTAGTAAATTATTTCCGCAAACACGTTGTGTAGTCGGAATCCATGTTTCGTAGGTCCTTGATGTCGAAAAATTGACTCACGAAAAATACCAGTCATGAATAACTATTTGTTTCATGATTCGGTGAATACACTCATGATTTGTCTGTATCTCGGAGGTTAAGGGCTTGTAGAATATTCCCGTAATTTTCCAGGAGACAGTTCAGACTTTGAATGAAAATGAACATGTTATTTTGACTGCTTCTAACTTGCCTAGAAGTGTCTTGTGGGTCATGTTCTCAATATCTTGAGGAAGAGCAATGTAGTCGAGAAAAGGATATAATAAAATCTAATTTTAGCGAAAACTTGAATCAGTGCCCTCTACGCTCCGGTGTAAGGCAGGGTAGCAGTTTAAATTGATGTAGCGTTATTTTCGAAAACTCTTGAGAGCTCTTCGTATGACAGAGTTTAAGATGTGCATTTGATAAAGTAATGCATGCGTGTTAATTTGCGTGTATTAATAATGCTTTGTTGTAGAGTGTGTCAAAGTGAATGGGATGTTTCCAGTCGTAGCTAGGTATTGATTTACTTACGACCTGGGCAGTATTGATGTTTTGTGTTATGTAACGCGAAGAACTTGGTGACTAATGTGGTTCCTGGTGTACACATGGAAGGAGGAAGCATATAAACGGAAATGATTTGATATGCATAATTCAATGTCTACTTTTTTTTCCCCGTTTATTTTCGAAGTGTCATGACAAGGTCGATTCATTGACGCATAGATAGAAAAGCTAAGATAAATGTTGTGCTTGCAATCTAAATTAGGTCATCACAGATGTCTCCGGGAGGACTGATTATCAGATATGTAAAACAAATTATTATTCGTGTATTAATAACCGATATTAAAACATAATTTATTAAACTGCCTATTGACTGCACATGTAGACTTTTTACGATATACTACTGACTAATGAATTTGTCTTTATACAGTTTATCTCGAGACCATCGTATCGAATTATTCATATTATGACAACCGGATTTTCAATTACAAGTTTTTATCCTTATAGATTTTAGACAAATCGACGTCAACGACCTGCAAAATATATGGTGGGTTATTTTTCCTTAGCGTAATAAAATCAGTTACTTACAATAGTTGCATGCATTTTTTGAATGAAAGATCATTCCTGAACAGTTTAGCGCACGTTTTAAGGAGAATTGTTTGTTTCTTCTTTTCCGTCAATGTTACATTACGAAATGGGACATTTCCATAAGCACTAGCCACTTACACTCCTACGACTTCGACATTCATCTCTAAAGATTCCTCAGCTCGTCGATATGTGATCACGTAACGAGGAATTCTCCGAACGCAGTGCATAGTAAAAACGAATCAGTCCTGCAGGCAATGTGAAAGAGAAGTTAGCTTTTGCCGACGGCGGAATTAGATACTAACATTGTTTTGCCGAAATAGATCTTCAGAGTATTGAGAGCAGAGATCCGATCATAAAGATATTAAATTCAAACGTCTGTTATCGAAGGGGGTCTTTTAGTACCAAATTAATGACTAAATAATAGACTCCGGTTGTAATGAACTCGGATATAGTAAACCCTCGGTTATAGACGAGTAAAAGAGCCTTCGAAGAATGGGGCTTCCAACTGTGTACGAGGTATTAAAGGGTGCCAAGACTGCGTTACGATACTTCGAGACAGTGGACAATGCAGGATCCAGTATGGCGAGAGCACGAACTGGAGAAGGATCTAGAGAAATTAGTAACGAAAAATGTACGTAGCAAATTGTTGGAAATTGTTTTTTTTAAGGCCAAATAAAGATATTGAAATCTTCAGTTCGTGCTGTTGAGTATTTTGCTGTGTAACTATATAAATAAAACTAATAATTGTGGAGAAATTCTATTCGATTTTGACAACTGGGATATAGTGAACCAAAAATGTTAGTCCCCAGAAGTTCACTGTAACCGGAGTTGACTGTAATACGAACGTTCGACTAGAAGTTGCCTATAAACTAATGATCCGTAATTGGGTGATGTGCATGCGACATTCTCTAGATGCAGACACGCGGAGCGTGAACGCAGAAGGCTCCCGGTGCAGCATTGATGTGCGCGCGGCCTCGCGAGGGGCCGGTGCGGGCTAGCGGTGGCGGCCTCGCTCTTGACTTCGCGTATTTCGGGCCGCCCGCCTGCGCCCGCGCCCACGCCCTTGGCCTCGCGGTGAAGGCCTTGGGCCCGCCCGCACGACTCGTTCCGGCCCCTCCTCCCCTCCCCTTCCGGTCAAAAATTCTTCGCACTTTCCACAGGATATTCAAATTATCGACATGCTCATTGGAATTAAAATGATGCCTTATTTTACGTGGCGAGACTCGGGCCATCATGCCCCCTCTTCCGTCTGACCACGCAAATTTCGCTACGCTCCTTTCACCAACTAGCGCAGGAAGGAGGTATTTCTTTAGCTCAGAGGCGTCATTTTGGCTTGATCTTTTACATGCAAGTAAATCTACTAAAATGGGACAACCGGCTTTACTTCCCCTCCGAAGACAGGCGTGGGAAGGATTTTTTCGCCCTTAAAAAGCAGGTTTGAACTCGACAACTTGGGTATAACAGTCCGATACGCTCATCGTTACACCATCACTGCCGCCGAATATCCACCGAGGATTATTTTGAAGAAGTATTTCTCAACAAAGGATTGTTTCGTATTAGCATTAAAATTAGGAAATGACGCTGCATATGTACTTATGGTATTGTATTTCATTGTAGTGCTGTTAACATACGCTCTGTAAGAGCCAAGAAAATGCGCGAGGCTGAAGGTAAAAATATATTAATTACTCCGCTTGCATAGTTCTCATGGTGTGCCATAACTATTTGGCCCTGGACTAAAGATGGGAAAATCAATTCAGCCGAATTCAGAACTTTTTCTTTCACCTAGCTGGAGATCTCTTGCCGTCCTCCTAGGATGAGTTGGCGGGAGCGTGTTTGTCTGATTTGAGTCGGGGTAACTAACTCTCTGCTCCGTAGTTACGTCACTCGCCAAATTCACTCGTGATTTATCGCCGTTCCTATTTTTAGCCAAGTACGTCGAACGTTCTATACAATACTCCGAACTTTACTTTGTGGACACCCTTTTTGTAGAACTATAAAGTAAAATGGGATAATTTAGTTCCCTAGACATTTGAAAGCTTTGGAGATTAGTGTTCAAGCGTGGAAGTTGAAGCTTTATCTAACAGCGGAAAAGCAATTCCCTAATTTCAAAATACTAAAATAATTAAAAATCTGCGGCGTTTTTTGCAACGTGCAAAATCACACTTAAGTCATGCTCAAGATCGCATGATGTTCTTTCTTCGTTAAGCTAGATGATTTCATTAAGATTTTTGTTCGTTATATAATCAGTGATTTGGTCTTGCCAATAAGCCATTCCACGTCAAATCGCACACTCATAAAACATCTGTTTCTAGTGACTTGATACTTCTTACTTTCTCGTTACCGCTTACGCAGTAGAGAGGTTATGTAATGCTGCGCGAACAAACTGCAAACTTTCGGCAGAAAAACTCTCATTGCTCGACCCTATTAAAGAAAAAGTGGATAAATGTATTCCTATAAATAGTAAATTTCTTCCTCGAACACGTGGTGTAGCCAGAATCCTTGTTTTGGGGGTCCTTGAAACCGAAAAATCGATTGACGGCAAAGCGTTCGTTTGTCCGTCCGTCCATCAACACCACTAGAGCCTAAACCATACGTACGATTTTTTTCCACAATGAATATTCTCGACTCGACTAAAAGCGTGGCTCGACTAAAAGCATTGCGGTATTGAAAAACATTTTTTAAATAATGGAGTAAAATAGGGAGCCGAAAAATTGAGAAAAAGTGAAAAAAATGTTTAAAACGAAAGAAAGGAGAGAGAATAAAGCCTGGAAAGAGAATAAAGCCTGGAAAGAGAATAAAGCCTGGAAAGAGAATAAAGCCTGGAAAGAGAATAAGGCCTGGAAAGAGAATAAGGCCTAACCGAAAAGCTAGTCCAGACTAAAGAAATTAGATAACTAGTGCGAGTAAGTCTGTGCCATTCTCTATCACCGCTAGTTACTTTCTCGCTACTGCTTTCGCAGTATAGTGAAAGTTATGTAATGCTGCGGAGAAAATGGCTACGTTTATTCAACAAAATCACAAATAAATGTAGGGGGGTTGTGCGTTGTGGTGAAGCTTCCCTTTGGCCGGACAAGCCCTGTCCCGTCCCGACCCGGCTTTTGGGATTCTGCGCGGCGCGGGCGGCATGTTCCGCTGGTAGCAGGGCGGATTTCACAAGCCGAGGGGACCGAAAGTAGCGAATGGGAAGGGAAGGGGCGGCGAGGGCGAGGCGAGAGGAGGATAGTTTCGTAGCGACGGGCATAGGAGTGCGGCGACAGATCGATAGCCCGCGATAGACGGACAGACGGAAGCCTCTCACCGCAGAGCCCTACCACTGCACCTCACGCACCGCCGCACACGCAGCTTTGCCACCCACCTTTACCACATTCTACCTTGCACATAGAACGCAGGGGAACAGAACACAGAACTGAACCGAACCCCTGAAATAGTTTCTGGATCCGCTCCCGCTATAGTCATAGGCAGAATCTTATTTCTTTCCGTATGATTCCAAATCGTCTGCGAAAGTGGGAAGGGGAACTTACTACTACATTGATTTTGTAGCATAATCGGACATTGCTCTCTCTGAACCTTTTTTCGTACATATAATTGTGTACTTTACAACATGTAAATTGGAGGAAACGGGGGAAGGGGCGTCGCATCGACTTTCTGGACATTCCTGAGTATGCCGCCAGCACCGCCGTTAGGCAACTCGGATGACGCGGCTGCTGACGGCCCGTCCGAAGGTGACGTTCCTTTCAGTCCATTCTTTGGGCATGTTTCAAATTTTCTACAATTTTCATGCATTTCATTTTTACTTACTCGCCTTGCTTCGGAAGAAGGGAAAGTAGTGTAATTGTGTGATGAAGTGCTAATTTTAGATAAAACGCTTATTGCGTCTCGTATTTTCGAAAAATTGTAGATGACCGTATTTCGAGATTTGTTTTTGACGAATATATTTTATCAAGGAAAATGTTCTATCTTCATTATTGTAGTTGTAGATAAACTAATTTTTACAAGTACAATAATGAACTTCTGCCATTTTCGAAAATTCAGTTTCATGAAAATGTAGTCACTTTCTTTTTCGCGTTTTGCTGTATTAGAGGGGGGATAAAGAAAAATAATTGGAGACTTTATGTAAAGTACCCTCCGTAATCAAAATCGTATCAAATTCAAGGGGCCGCGTCATTAGTCGGATAGATCATTATAGCATTACAGTACTTTATCATCACTGTGAAAACGGTATGTGAGAAAGGGAACGTTGATCGAATTGTTTGGGTGGAAGATGATGAAGCAGGAAAACACTAGAATCGGTTTCCCGATGTCGCGCGCTTGCCACCGCCCCACGGAGCGCTGAGGCGTGAGCCACTCCGGGGGAAGGGGGAGGCTGTAAGCGAGATGGGTTGCGGCGGCTGAGGTGGCTGAGGGGCCATCCCAGGAGCCGTATCGCAGGCGCTAAAAGCTTCCGGATGCATACGCCCCTCGGTGGCGCTCCCTGCTCTGCTTCCACCGGAAGAATGAGTGGGCGCAGGAAGGCCACCGACCTTTGCCAGAGGCCCAATGACGTTTTTCAAACTACAAGCCCGAATACGATCTAACATCCTCGCACGTCGTCGATTGCTTAGGATGTACTGCTTTACTCTATCATTGCTTGTGAGAATCGCTCGTATCATATCCAACCACCAATTTTGCATCGCTCATGCGCTTATTTTTGTATATTCTTTTCTACCATGTATATTACAATTGCTACACAAAACTTAATTAAAGACTTTAAATTTCGAAATTGTTTTGTACACGTTTTGATGATCTTTGATGTAAAATTGACAGAACGATCGCACGTTAATGGAATTGTAAACTTTTTAGCGATTAAAGATTCTACTTCCTGGAATGCAATAAAAACCTCATGCAGGAATTGTTACCTTGTTATAAGAAATATTTTTAAAAACACTAAATACACGAACAATGAGCATAAATGTCACCTGGTTGTTTATTTCTAAAAGTTTTTACCATTTACAAAATGTTCGATTCTGCTTTGAAAAAAGTTTTTTCACGTAAACTGATGAATGTACCCCCATAAATTTGGAAAACTTGTGAATTGTTCATTGCTATAAAGACTATAAAAGCTAAAAATGATACAAATATACCATTGGTAGTGCATGTTCATTTCCACACTTAATTGTACGTTTCGCTATTTGATAGCTCATGTTTTCATGCACGTTTTGGGACTGCATAAAGCATGTAAATTCTGTTTATTCTAGTGTGTGTGATTGTTGATGTTTTTTTGATCACCACGCGCATCGCATCACTTGGCCGGATCATAACCCACTCCCACACTCTCTCCCGCTCGCGGTCGCTCTGAGAAATATTTGATAGAGGACGCTTACCCCTACACATGCCGACGCATGCTCGGCTCTCCTGCGGTTTTCCTACAAATTAGTTGTTCGCGTGCGTAATCAATCAATCAATCAATCATAGAAGACCATGGCATGATCATCTATCAAAGATTCCAGTGATAGCCGGTCTCCCGACAGTATTAAACGTGAAAAATCTGGAGAAATATATTGATTGTTTAAATATTTTTCCTATTCTATTAATAACTGTATTCAAATGATTTAAAAGTAAACGCCCTCCTTGGTATACTGAAATGTCACCAGTACAAGTAGTGATTTAGACACTGCACCCAAGACGCACTGCCCTCGGCTAAATTGAATAAATTCGACGTGTCCATTAACGCGTGAACGCGAGTGTACCGCGCGCGACTTGCAATGGCCCGCCCGTCGCGCGTCGCGTCGCGTGGGGGCGGGGGCGGAGAGGCGCCGGATCGATGGCACTCGTAGGCCACCTGCGTAGCGGTCGCGCCGCCTTAACTCCCTTAGAACTCCCTTAAAAGTAAAATAAATTATATTTTCTGCAATAATTGTAGAGACAGATGAATTCATCGGATGATTTAGGTTTCGACTTTTCGCCTAGTACCTCGTGTGTGTACATTGCAACCACCTACAAAAAATTTCTTTCACTCATTCTTGATTACATCTTTGTTTTAAGGTGACCTACACTTCGGTATTTCTCGGTATTTCTCTCCAAGAGTTAACGTTTTCAATTGGCGCTTGACCTCGTAAACCAGGAGCATCCAACTTGAAGGGCCTCACGGTCCACAACAAAAATCTATATAATATGGTAGCAGGCCATATTTTCATTACTTGGGCTATCCACTTACCTGATTCTCCGTATTGTTTATCTCGGCAGTTGATCCGCTGCTATGGTACGGGGGGGGGTAATAAAACCATGCGTGATATCAAAACGTACGCAGAGAAACACGATGGAAATATTTTGGAATTTCTGAATTTACTACCAAAAAGTCCCTAATGTAAAGTTGACCTATTTTTACATTAAAGGGGGTGTTGACCCAGGCAGGGCGCGTGCGCTAGGTGAACAATGTTCTTGACCGACGTGAATGAAAGAGACTTTCACTTTTGACTAATATAAACCACAATATGGGCCATAATAAATGGCACCGTGGGACGCCAATTGGACAACCCTGTCATAAACACTTGCTTAACACAGTACCTGCAACTTGTCGAATTGAATAACTTAAAATTTCACAACTACTGAAACCAAAGCACGCATTACAAGAATTGCGAGACCGCTCCTCGCGACTCCCTCCTTCACACGAGTTAATGAACGTAAGTGCTATTACAAGTAAACAGTGGATATCGCAGGAGTGGTGTGTGAAATACGATGTTCGGACGAAGGTAGCTGAGAATGCGAATGAACGAGCACAGCTGAGTGTCTCCTGTCAATGATTTTAAAACAATATTAGTTGTTCTAAAATTCTCTAGAATTTTTAATACGGTCGTTCTAAAATGTCCTTTCCGTTTCCGCGTTAGGCAGGTTTCCGTCTTATCCGGTGTACTTTGCTTTGGAGAATAGACCGTTCTGGCATTCCGGCCAAGGCAGGTTTCCGCCTCATTGGAGTTCCGCCGTTGGTTTTACTGTATTATTACTTCCTCGGATACATTCGTGTATATGGATGTTTTTGTACGGATAGCACTGTATAAGAGGACATAAAACCCATTTTGCTTCTCTTTTTTTTAATGCAAATATACTTTTTAATCTCTCTCGCCGGTAAATGCAAATTTACCGCGATTTGTATACGTTACTGTATTTGTGCGTAGAACTGTCTCAAATAATGTCCAATGAAGTTCATTCTTTTAATTGATTCATGAGAATATTTTCATATTTATGTTCATGAACCATATGCTTACAGTTAAAATGTTACCAGTGTAATTGAGCACCAATTATTAGTTTTTGAAATGTTTAATCACAGCTTTCAACTATGGTGTTTGGTATTTAATTAATTGTTTCCTTTTCGTAAATTAAAAATGACAAGCCTTAAGGAAGGTACAATAAATTATTATTCATAATCGTTCATTTTAAGTATTAAAACCGTTAATCAGATTTGTTGTTTATTTTACAACAGTCTAAACAGCGATATCTCCTATCAAATAAGTATGATGTGCGATGGGGCGTGTTCACGTAACTATTAATATGACTTATCGTTGTTCCAGAAGTCAAACAGGGGTTGGAAGACCTTATGTCCGACATCAAGAAGACGGCCAACAAAGTTCGCACCAAGTTAAAGAGTGAGTTCTTTTAAATATATTTTCAGTATGTACACATTTTATCCTTTCCTTTTTCTCATTGGCATTTCGAGTTTGTCTTTTCATCACTGTACTTCCTTCAATTGCTGTTTAAGTAAATAAGTTTACAAAGCAAGCTCACTGAAGTCTTCTCAGCGAGGATTTCAGTAGTTTTTAGTAAATATAGTGATTCACAGAACAATATAATTTCTCTGGGTGAGAATTTTGTAGAAGCTTGAAGCTACATTTTTGTTCGTTTTGCTTTTGAGAATAAATTCCATATATTCATTAAATGCTCATCATTGTTACTTGCAGCCATAGAGCACAACATCGAGCAAGAAGAACACAATAAAAAATCTTCAGCAGATCTGCGGATACGAAAAACACAACACTCTACACTATCGCGGAAGTTTGTGGAGGTGATGACAGAATACAACCGCACGCAGACTGACTATAGGGAGCGTTGTAAGGGAAGGATACAACGTCAACTGGAAATTAGTAAGTGAATTGGGCGATGGTTATTAGTAGTCGCATTTTACATAGATATTTCCTAATACGGAAAGAAAAATGTTCACGTCTGATCAGTAGTAATTGTTAATTTGTATTATTATTAATGACATTGTTTAGATCTTAACTCAATTTTGCTTGAATTTTTCAGCGGGACGGACGACCACAAACGAAGAATTGGAAGACATGTTAGAGCAGGGTAACCCAGCAGTCTTCACCCAGGGGGTAACTGACTGTTCTGACTTACGTTTTTTCTTCAATAAGTTATTAATTTAAGCTTGCTTCTCGCATTTGCAAACTGAGTGATCCTCTACTAGAAATACTTTCTACCCATCAGATTTTCCCCAAGAATATTAGGTGCTACCTCAATATCTTAACCAAATCAATTTCGGCGAAACTCTACCCAAACGAGCCCATAGGTCATACCCTACCATTTTAGCCCCCTTTTCTAAATGGTCTGAGATATCTGAGGCGTGATTCTGCTATCTACTTTTGTGCCTCTAAATCAGAAAGATAGGTTATTACTAGTAATTTTATAATTGACTCAGTTAGTAGTGAAGTCCTGGGTACTAACATTTGTGGTTCACTATATCAGTTTTACTATAATGATGTCAAAATTAAATATAATATCTCCTCAGTTATTTATTTTATTAATATAGAAACAGCAAAATGCTGTAACAATTGAAACTGAAAATTCCAATGTCTTTGATCTATTTTTTTTCAATTATTTGCTTCGTAAATGTTTAAATAATTATTTCTCTAGACCCTTCTCCAGAGTCCGTGCTTTCTCCATACTTGATTTTGCATTGTTCACTGCCTCTAAATATCGTAATCCTCTCTTGACACCATTCAATGCCACATCCACTGTTGTGGAATAAAGTGGCTAATAAAGTCTCCACAGGTGGCTAATATAGTCATCGCATTTCTGCGCGGCACGGGTGGTGTCACCAGGATGTGTCAGTCGCGCTCTTACTGTCGCCAACGTAAAACACAATGCGCTTATTGCCGCCGAATGTAACAACAAGCGTGAAAGTGAGGCAAGCAATCGCGTGTCGCCGCCACCAGTTGAAGCCCACGCAGGACACGGTCTTTCTTTACACAGACACTGAGTATCATAAGGTCATCATTAGGGTCCCCATTATAGTTTAGCTACCTTCACCTCCGGGGAGCTTCTTGTATTATGACCTTTTACCTACGATTTTTATTTTTCCACACTATTGTTTAAATTTGACACTTCACGCGCTCTCTCTCTCTTCACGCGCTCGCTCGCTCTCTCTCTCTCTTCACGCGCTCGCTCTCTCTCTCTCTCTCTTCACGCGCGCTCTCTCTCTCTCTCTTCACGCGCGCTCTCTCTCTCTTCACGCGCGCTCTCTTCACGCGCTCTCTCTTCACGCGCTCTCTCTTCACGCGCGCTCTCTTCACGCGCTCTCTCTTCACGCGCGCTCTCTCTCTCTTCACGCGCGCTCTCTCTCTCTCTTCACGCGCTCTCTCTCTCTCTCTCTCTCTTCACGCGCTCTCTCTCTCTCTCTCTTCACGCGCTCTCTCTCTCTCTCTTCACGCGCTCTCTCTCTCTCTTCACGCGCTCTCTCTCTCTCTCTCTTCACGCGCGCTCTCTCTCTCTCTCTTC